GATTGGCTCAGATGCTCTCCGTTGTGTGTCTGGAGGTTGACAGGTGCTGACTGACAGCTGCTCACATGAACAGAATGTCTGTAATTGACACAGATTTTACCTCATTTTGCAGGTTTACAGACATTTAGAGTAATCCAAGTGTCTGGGCTTGTTTTGTGCGTACGCAAGCTTTATAAATCTGACCCCTGGTGGTTAAGTTGCACGTCATAAAACAACTCTTGTAAAAATAAAAAATTTAAATGTTTCAACAATACATTTCTGAACTGGGTCTTACAGTTTCTATCAAATGGCAAAATAAATAATGGATTTTATTTTTGGTTATTCCAAACAAACCAACCCTGTCTTCTCCCTGAGACTTTTCCCACCTTCCTTTTTCCTCCCTCAGCWCTCGTTCACAGTCTTGGTCATAATTATTACTGTCACTGTCCTCTTTTCTCCTGCTCTTCCTCCTGCTCCTCCTCCTCCTCCTCCCAAAGCGGTGGTCCTTCACCGGGGACAGCTCCTGGGTTTGAGGGGTAAGTGGGAGCGCTCCCGTCCTCCTGTGTTTGTGATCAGACCGTTCTCAGCTAGTCAAACCTGCAGACTGTGTGTTTCTGTCAGACGTTCAGCTCTCGCTTCGTCTGACTGGGATTATTCGCCAAGGATTACAGAAAGTAGTCAGTGTGATTTAGGKGTTTATGGTTTTTTTTGTCAGAGAGGATTTTTCACTGTTAGATGCTTCGCATGCCTGTAAAATATAAATGTGCAACAAATCCACTGCATGTGAGAAGTTCATTGGACTTTTACTTTGGTGTGCTTGTGATCTTTTTTTTTTCCCGTTTGATTTCTGCTCCGATCAGCCAATAAGGTGTCCCCTACGTCCTCCGGGGGTGTGATCCACGTGTACGGCGACGACGGCTCTGAGAAGAGCGGCGGCAGCTTCATCCCTTACTGCTCCATGGCGCAGGCCCAGTTGTGCTTCCACGGACACCGCGACGCCGTCAAGTTCTTCGTCTCTGTGCCGGGTCAGTGGGAATCCTGACTGCCCGCCTCAGAGCTCCTGAGCTGGAATCTGTCCGGTACAGGAAACAGTGCGGATCGTTTAAATGTGTAGTTTTATTTGTTTTTGTTTTTTTTGTGACAGGTAATGTTCTGGCCACCCTGAATGGCAGCGTTCTGGACAGCCCGTCAGAAGGACAGAGCTCCACGGCCCCGACAGAGACGGAGGCGCAGAGTGTTCACAACGTGTTGGTGCTGAGTGGAGGAGAGGGATACATCGACTTCCGTATAGGTACGCCGTGCTGTTTTTATAGGTAACACTCAAACGCCACGTGCTTCTTAACAAGAACACCTTCACARCCAATATAACTATAAAGAGCTTTTAGAAATCCAGAAGTGAAAACATGCATGACGTGGTTTCCAATGAAAGAAAAGGGAAGAGACTGACACCACTACAAATCCACTCTTTTATTTAAAAATAGCAGCCAACCTTGTGGGATTACAGCTTTTGGGCTCACCGTTTGTYCACAGGTGACGGAGAAGACGATGAGACGGAGGAAGGAGAAAGCACGGGTGAGGCTTCGCAGATGAAACCTGCTTTGAGCAAAGCCGAGCGAAGCCACATCATCGTCTGGCAGGTGTCGTACGTACCCGAGTGACGACCCGAAACTGACATCGCTTTCAAGAAATCTCATTTTTATCGACGCTTCCAGCCATCCCAAACCTTGTAATAATTTCGGGTTGTATAAAAGTATCTCTTTGGCTGTGAAACCCTTCGAGCCTTGCACCGTTCCTTGTAACTATTATACCTTCTGTCCCGTCGCCTCTTACCGTCTGTAAATGACCTCCTGTGTTTATCTGCCTGCCTTCCTGTGTCTTGCCCCGCGCAGGAAACTGTAACTATCATGTAACCCAGCCTCATTATAACTACCTCCCTCGCCTGCATTTATCTTATACTCGCCTCGTAAGCACACTCCGTCGTACACCAAATGTAAAAAGCTGAAAGATCAGCAAGTACAGCAACTCCAAAAATCTGTTAAGTCTCACGATCTTTCCCGCCACCTCTCCCTTGTTTAGGAGTCTCCGCTCAGAACGTGTTGCATCGGCATGTTTTTACAAACACGAGGTGCATTTACAGCATTCAAGGGTCAGAGCTCATCCATATCCACTCAAAGGGGGCTGAGCTCAGTGTTTTCCAAACTTCATTTAGTAAAATAATCCCTCCCTGAACAGCTGTTGAGCAGACGCAGGTGAACGATGGCATGTTGTTACTTTATGTACAGAGATTCCTCTCGRTTCAGTATGGAAATCTGTGCATTGATCTCTATCTGTGGATTAAATATTAAACATATTTGTGAGCTGAGAGCAATTCCTGKGTGGTCATTTGTTTAACATCACCAACAAATACAGCGTGAAATGCTTTTTAAAAGCTTAGGTTTGTTGTTTTATTTTACAATTTCAAAACATCATAGTCACTTATAGAAGTGTTACATTTTTCTTAGTGAAAGACAAGTTAGCCTTGAATTATAGTCTTAGACTTTCAGTTTAAGGTTGATAAGAAAAAGCAAAAACACAATCAGAGGCTTTTATTCCTAAGAGCCAAAAAAAAGACAATTCATGGTGTTATAAGAGTTATGTGTTGTAAAGCTTAAAACGATAATAGCCGCAGTGGAAACTGAGTTGTTTTRCAGAACGTAATGTTTTAATCTGAATACAGACATGCACCCTTTAATTAACATTAACTGTGGAGTAAATTGGAACCAATTACCTGAAATCTCAGGGTGAGTATCATAAATCCATATTTTAATGCTTGAAATCCACAAAAAGCTGCTTGTCTAGACTCAACAAAATGATAAAGAAATCAGAAAAGCAGGGTGTTTAACTAAGATATTGCTCACTTAGTGCATCTTTGTTGAGGTAATCCTCTTTTAGAGAAAAATGTAAACAGAAATGCAGCAAAGGCATGTGGAGCGACAAACTGTTAAAACAAATAAAACAAAACTCCTTGGTCTGAGGCAAGATGTGATCTTTTTTTTTTTAACTCACATTAAAGACCTCTGGTTTATAACTGTCAGTAGATCCAGTTCCTGCTGCTGCTCTCCCAGAGTTGGAGCTCGTTCTGACGGAACCACAGAGAGATTTCCTTCTGAGCGCTCGCCACCGAGTCGCTGCCGTGGATCACGTTCCTGAAAGCAGAGCAGAGAACGTTATGTTTGTCTGTTTGTTTGTTTGTTTTCCCCCTAAACCAAAACAGATCAATCAGTGCCAGTAAAGTGCTTCATGTTTTATTGCAGTTCAGTCAATCACGCCCTGACAAAAACAAACTACAAAGTTGTTCTCCTGAGTTAGTTGTTCTGCTATAAACTCCTTGTTTCATTTAATTTTTTGATGCTCAGTATATTTTTAATACATGACTTTTTGGTGCTTTTATTAGCTAAATCAAACAAGAAATCACACAAGTCTGCAAAAGACTGATTCATAAATAAAAGAACAAATTTACCCTAAGTTTTGTCAGAAATCAAACAGCAAYGCAAAATACGTAGTTTCAAGTTACCGGTAAGTACATATAAAATCTTTAAAGGGCCAATATTATGTGTTTCTCAGGCATATATTTAAATACTATACCATAATAAAGTATCTATGTCACCTTTAGTTGTTATTAAAATGCTGTTTTTATGTTTAAATAGAAAATAAACTTGTCTTCTCATCACTTCCTCTTCTAAACGCCTTGAAATTGGCCTCTGTCTCTTTACGAACCACCTTCCGCTTCTGTCCCGCCCATTTGGGTGCGGGGGTGTGTGTGTGTGTGTGTGTGTGTGTGTGTGTGTGTGTGTGTGTGTGTGTGTGTGTGTG